GTTTTCTAAGATCGATTTGAGGTCTGGGTATTATCAATTAAAGATTAAAGATGAGGATGTTCATAAAACAGCTTTCAGAACTCGTTATGGGCATTATGAGTTTTTGGTGATGCCATTTGGATTAACGAATGCTCCTGCAGCTTTCATGAGATTGATGAATGAAGTATTCCAGGAATATCTTGACAAGTTTGTTATTGTTTTTATTGATGACATCCTGGTATATTCTAAGTCGGAATCAGACCATATTCGACATCTTAACTTGGTGTTAAGGAAATTGAGGGAACACCGGTTATATGCCAAATTTAGTAAATGTCAATTTTGGCTGGATCAAGTGGCATTTTTGGGACATGTGGTATCAGCTCAAGGAATTCAAGTGGATCCTCAAAAGATAGCAGCAGTGGAAAATTGGGAACAACCTCGAACGGTCACTGAGGTGCGGAGTTTTCTTGGTTTGGCAGGTTATTATAGACGGTTTGTTCAAGACTTTTCTATGATTGCCTTGCCATTAACGAAGTTAACCAGGAAGGATGTTAAGTTTGAGTGGGATGAAAGTTGTGAGCAAAGTTTCCAGCAGTTGAAGTATTGCCTTACTCATGCACCTGTGTTAGTACTTCCTGATGATAACGGTAACTTCGAGATCTATAGTGATGCTTCTTTGAATGGTTTGGGTTGTGTTTTGATGCAGCATAGTAGAGTGATTGCCTATGCTTCTAGGCAGTTGAAGACTCATGAAAGAAACTATCCGACTCACGATCTTGAGTTGGCAGCTATTGTGTTTGCTTTGAAGATTTGGAGACATTATCTCTATGGCGAGAAATGTAAGATCTTTACCGATCATAAAAGCCTTCAGTACCTTTTCACTCAGCATGATCTTAATCTTCGTCAGAGAAGATGGTTGGAATTGTTAAGTGATTATGATTGCACTATTGAGTACCATCCGGGTCGTGCAAATGTGGTAGCTGATGCTCTGAGTAGGAAGCCTCAAGGGCGACTTAATGCTTTGTATGCCAGTCGTGTTCCTCTTCTGGCAGAGTTGAGATCTACTGGAGTAGAGTTAGAATGGGAAGAGCAAAGTGAAGCTTTTCTTGCCAGTTTTCAAGTCAAGCCAATTTTAATTGATCGGGTGCTTGCAGCTCAATCGTGGGATGAAGAGATTCAAGAATTGATCAATTTAAGAAATGAAGGGAAGAAGAAAGATCTCAAGATCCGAGGATCAGATGGTATGCTTATGCAAGAGAACAGGATGTATGTGCCTAGTAATGAGGAACTGAAGAAGGAAATCTTGGATGAAGCACATTGTTCGGCTTATGCTATGCACCCAGGAGGAACTAAAATGTATCATACCATTCGACCATTCTACTATTGGCCGGGTATGAAGAGGGAGATTGCGGAGTATGTGAGTAGGTGTATTGTCTGCCAGCAGGTTAAGGCTGAAAGAAAGAAGCCGTTTGGGAGATTGCAACCACTTCCCGTTCCCCAGTGGAAATGGGAGAATATAACGATGGATTTTGTGTATAAGCTGCCACGTACACAAAATGGTTTTGATGGCATTTGGGTGGTTGTAGATCGACTTACCAAATCAGCACATTTTATTCCAGTAAGGGAGAAGTATTCTTTAAATAAGTTGGCTCAGTTATTCATATCGAAGGTTGTAAAGTATCATGGTGTCCCAGTGAATATTATTTCTGATCGAGATCCAAGATTTACTTCTAAGTTTTGGATAGCTTTTCAAGAAGCTTTGGGTACTAGATTGCTTTACAGTACAGCTTATCATCCACAGACAGATGGTCAGTCAGAGAGAACTATTCAGACACTCGAGGATATGTTGAGATCCTCTGTGATGCAATTTGGTGATTCTTGGCATGATCGTTTGGATTTGATGGAGTTTGCCTACAATAATAGTTTTCATTCGAGTATTGGAATGTCTCCATTTGAAGCACTTTATGGTAAAGCTTGTCGTACGCCATTATGTTGGTCAGAGGTCGGTGAAAGAATACTTGAGGGCCCAGAGATTGTGGATGAGACTACTCAGAATATTCAGGTAATTAAGTCTAACCTGAAAGTGGCCCAGGATAGACAAAAGAGCCTAGCGGATCGACATACCACGGACAGAATGTATAATGTGGGCGACTATGTTTTTCTGAAATTATCGCCTTGGAGAGGTGTGGTTCGCTTTGGAAAGAAAGGAAAGCTAAGTCCCAGGTACATTGGACCTTATGAGATCACTGAGAGGATTGGTGAAGTTGCTTACAGGTTGGAGCTACCTCCAGAGTTGTCTAAGGTACATAATGTGTTCCATGTCTCGATGCTTCGGCATTATGTGTCAGATCCTTCACATGTGATTCCTCCTCAACCATTGGAAATTAATCCGGATTTGACGTACGATGAGGAACCAGTGACTATACTGGATTGGAAAGATAAGACCTTGAGGAATAAGACCGTGAGCTTGGTGAAAGTATTGTGGAGAAACCATTCAGCTGAAGAAGCTACTTGGGAGACAGAAGATCGGATGAGAGATATGTATCCGAGGTTATTCTATGACTTTTGATGTTCTGGTTAGTGATTGGAATTTCGGGGACGAAATTCTATAAGGAGGGGAGATTGTCACAGCCCGTCCCAGAGTTACTAAATACCGAGGACGTGAAATTACTAAAACGCCCTTAAACGGGATTAAGGTGCGTAAATTTGGTATTTGTTTTACACTAAGATCTTAAACTAGGGTTTAGATTTACATTTGTTTGGTCTAATAATTTTGTATTGGACTTAGGTGGGATCCCCACCTCCTGAAATCCTTCCCCAAAACCCGTAGGTTGTCTCTCTCCCTCTTTCTTCCTCGTCTCTCCCTCAGTCTCTCTCACACTCCCTCAGAAACACTCTCTCTCTCTTACTCTCGAACTCTCTCAAGCTCTCGGACAAACACCAAGAACAATCACAATCCTACACCAACGTCCGATCTAAGATCACCACGACACTCCTTAGGACCTCACGAGCACGGGAATACCAGTTTTAGGTAAGTTCTATTTCGAGAACCCTAGTTTTAAAACACCCCGTGTATTGGCACTGTTCACGAACTTAATTTTGGTTGTGTTTTAGGTTAAACAAAGATCACCACGAGTCTTAGGAAGTTCCAAGGAGGCTCGGAGTGCCTCGTTTGATCAAAATGGACGTCGGGATCGTCGGGTTCGAGTTTGGCCGAAATTGAAGAATTTTGAAAGGTTTGATCTTGTTGTTTTTAGGCCTTAAAACCCTTCCAACGTGTTAGTACATGTTAATTGCTTCATTTTGGTATAAAATTCGAAGAAATTGGTTGAAAAACGAAGGAGAATAGTGGATTTGAAAATTTTCCAGAAACCGGCGAACAGTCGCCGGCGACCGGTGACTCGCCGGAGAAGACAGGGAATCTTCCGTCAAGTTTGACGGAATATTCCGACGCCGTTAGTTAACTTTAACGGAAACCGTTAGTTTTAACGGAATATACTAGGATTTGACGGAATATTCTCTAACGCCGTTCACTGTAGCCGTCAGTGTGCATGTCACGTGGCCGCGCGTGGGCCGCGCGTAGGTCCGTGCCACGTCAGGCGCGTGGGGGCGCGTGAGGACTCCAAAAATTATTTTAAAAATTTGGGGATGATCCTGAGGTTGTGTAGGTCACTGTGGTATATTCATATACCCAATTTGAGCATCGTATGAAGAATTAATTACCTAGTTTGGTTTAAGTGCGTTAAATGTGCGTTAAATGATTGTTTTAAGTTATTTCACTTCTAGGTGGAACATTTAACGAGGACGAGCACATCCAGGGGCGTCAAGGGGGTTACGACCCGGCGACATACCAGTGAGTGGGCATTGCTTTCTATATATATACCTATATACTCGATTTCCCCAGAAATCAAATTTTAAATGAAAAGTATATATTGAAATGAAATGAAATATGATGTGATTGCCATGCATAGAATATTATGGATATTATGAACTGTCGTATGATGCATATATGTATGATGGTGCTGTGGAAGCACAGGTAAGTATTTAATTAATATTATGATGATGATGATGATATATTGAGCTCATATCCTGCACCATGGTTTAGTGCTTATAGTATTCACCGCATCGCACGCTCGCCTTGGATCCAAGTAGATGCTGGTCGTACAGTCCACGCGGAGTGGGTACGACGGGCCAGTCGTAGAGTGTTAGTGAGATTATGACTGGTGGGTGACCTTAGGCTATTGTATACAGATGATTGATGAGAGAAGCACTAGAGCGAATATTACCATGAGTCGTTCAAACTACATTAGGTGGTTCCGACTTATGTGCAGAAGGCCGGACAGGTCACGCGGAGTGACTCCGGCAGAGAGTGAGATTGATAGATGTTGAGCTCTAGGTTCAATCGTTCAGGGCTATTAGAGGGCCTCCGATTGATTTCTATCTTTTACCTGATTATATTATGTTAATGCATTCATACTAAACTGTTGAAATTGGCATGGTACATTCTTTATTGAATCTGTTATAAGATTGATGATTGAGACAGTTGAGATATATATGCTATATACTATTTTTCTGGGAAAGTATACAGGTTTTCCAAAAAGGGGTTATAATTGTGGATTTGTGAAATGATTTGGAAAAGCTTTATTTTCGCCCACTCACGTTTTCTGTTTTTCGCCCCTCCAGGTTCTAGTTGATAGTTGAGGCGTTGGTGGCCTACGAGACTGCTTCGGCGTTCTGACAGACTAAATAAATGTAGGATTCACCCGAGGGTGTTGTAAATTAGTTATGTTCCTACTTGACTGCACCTAGATGCTTATGCTCTGTTTATGTGTGTTTAGTACACTCTTATGCACATAGAATGCTAGGTTGTAAATAACTGCAATTAGTGGTTTTCGTTAATTCGTATTTTATTATTAAATCGTTTCCGCTTGCGTTATGGTTACGTCACACTCACGTGACGGCCAGCACGTCCTAGTCTTCGGGTTAGGGTGTCACTTGGGATTTTAGCTAATCTCTTTCAGAAATCAGGAAAAGCCAAAGGGTATACTGCTGCACAAGTATTTTGAAGGGAGAACCTGTAATCATCTCTTGTTAAAAGAAAGTACCAATCTGACAATGAAGTTTATGAAAATTGGAACCAACCCGGACACCTTCTACACCGAAGAAGCTACCAGGTACTAGCTTAGCTATGACTTGTTTTCCCACCGGTGTTCCATAGATGACATTGAATGGGTATGCATAGAATCGATTTCCTCACACATACGTCCTCACAGGTCACGTTCATAATGAAAATGCTACTTTGTGCTTTGGTTTTATGTATTAAATTTCTTGATTTATGTGCTGTCCTCGCAACAGTATTATTTCAGCTGACTTTGCATTCACTATGTGTGCAGGACCGTGATTTCGGATGCACCCAGCGACTTTGTCATACAAATTAACAACATCCATTATCTTCTCCATAAGGTAGTGATCAGATCATTTACAAGGAATAATGTTTTGTGGAAATGCACCAATTTCATTTTCTCATGTAGTCACGGATGTGCAATAAGAATGAACATTTCACTATTTTTCCGAATTTTATAAAATCATACACCAAACTAATACAGCTAGCACTTCTTCTGCATGTATACAACTATACATACACAAGTGCTTGCTCTTGGTTAAGGGATAATTGTGCTTTTGTTAGCTGCAGTTTCCACTTCTTCCAAAATGTGGCCTCTTACAACGGCTTTGCTCTGACTCTGGTGATTTGGAAAAGGTCAGCATAAAGCTTCACGATATTCCAGGAGGTGAAGATGCGTTTGAAATGTGTGCGAAGTTCTGTTACGGAATTACGATTAATCTCAGCGCCTATAATTTTGTACCTGCATTTTGTGCTGCTAAGTTCCTCCGAATGACCGAGTCAGTAGAGAAGGGAAATTTTGTTCCAAAACTCGAGGCTTTCTTCAATTCATGCATTCTTGAAGGTTGGAAAGACTCCATTACTGCACTACAAACTACAGTGAAGTTGCCTGAATGGTCTGAGAATCTTGGGATCATCCGAAAGTGCATTGATTCAATTGTTGAGAAAATCCTTACTCCTCCAGCAAAGGTCATATAATGCTCGTGAATATTTTATTATTATGCTTCTTCTGTCAGCAATCGGTTTGTTTTATTCTTCCTTATTGATTTGCTCAAACTAAGTAATGTTAGTCAATTTTAATTTTCAGGTTGCATGGTCCTACACTTATACCAGACCTGGCTACACCAAAAAGCAACATCATTCTGTCCCAAAGGATTGGTGGACTGAGGATATATCAGATCTTGATGTAGACCTGTTTCGATGTATAATTACTGCTGTTAGAGCCACGCATGTGCTGCCACCACGGCTCATTGGGGAAGCTTTGCACGTCTATGCTTGTCGTTGGCTGCCAGATACCACAAGAACACCTCCACAAACAGATGAGGAACTCATGGAAAACAATCGAAGAATTGTTGATAGCGTTGTGAGTATGATTCCCGGAGATAAGGGAGCAGTTTCTGTTGGTTTCTTGCTAAGGCTTATTGTAATTGCCAATTACTTGAGAGTATCCCCAGCGACAAAGACTGACCTGTTAAGGAGGTCTGGTCTACAACTCGAAGAGGCAATGGTGGATGACCTGATTTTTCCTTCAAACTCGCCCGCTGACCCGGAATTTTACGATATTGACTTGGTTTTGGAAGTGTTAGAAAGTTTCTTGGTGCTATGGAAAAGACAATCCCCTGCAGCTGCTTCTGAATTGGACAGAAGTGCTCAGGTTTTAGGAACAATGAGAAAGGTTGGGAAACTCATTGATTCGTACCTTCAAGTTGTTGCCAGGGATGTCAACATGCCAGTTTCAAAAGTGGTATCTCTGGCTGAAGCTTTGCCAGATATTGCAAGGGAAGACCATGACGGCATCTACAAGGCTATTAACATTTATCTAAAGGTATGTAAGTATGTAGTTGATTAATCGAAGTGAATGCCATTGCCATTTAGAATTTATGAGTATAGTTAATTACTAAATGCTGATTGACTAATCCATTTGATGAAACATATGTATTAATAAGTAGGAGCATGGTGATCTAAGCAAGGCAGACAAGAAACGCTTGTGCCGCATTTTAGACTGCCAGAAGTTGTCGCCTGAGGTACGCGCTCATGCTGTGAAAAATGAGCGGCTACCATTGAGGACTGTTGTGCAAGTCCTCTTCTTTGAACAAGAGAGGGACAGAGGTTCCAACTCCAGGGCAGCAGCAGCAACTCATGATCGTCATAAACATAAGCCACTGCCAATAACACCCTCCCTGTTCCATGAGCCAGGAAAACAAACAATGCCAAGTAGCAGAGAATCGGATAGTCAAAGTCATAAGCTAAAATTAGGAGCAGCAAATGTTCATGATAAATTCAGTAGTAGTACCACTGGAAAGAAAGATAATCAACTGCTGCAAATGCAAAACAAAAGATCAGGCGGAAAGTTGGCATTGAAAAACGAAAGAAAGGGTGTCAGATTAGAAACGCAACAAGTAGATCATCAAGGACATAATATGGGAAGGGAAATCGTAAGAGGAGGAGCATCTGGATCTGCAGGTGCAGGGAGCAAGTTGGACGCTAAGAAGATGATCCAAAGGGGAAGTAGGCCGGGCCATGGCCACGACAAAGACAAAGATAGATAGCAAAAACGTACAGGAACATCAATCATCCTCGTTCCCATTGCACTTCATGTAATTAAGTTTTTCTTTTTGTTTGTTCCGTATTCCTCTGGAATTGGAGAAAATGTTTCAGTTCTGAACCATGTTATCTTATGATGAGTCCTCTCCCCCGTTTGTGCCATACTCTAAAACATAAAAGGGTGGGAACTTCTAGCCATGGCGCCAATGTCGGTATAGTTTTACCAACCATAAGAAGAAGACTTAAAACCATTCAAAGCTGCTATTTAGTACTATGGTCTAGTGATATTTTTTTTCACTTGTAAGTGAGAAATCTTGTTTGATTCTCCCAAATGACGAATTCAAACTAAATTCAAGTTAATCTATTGCAAAGTTTAGCCCACTACCCTCGCTCCTTAATATAGATAATATTGAATGATTCAAATTCTCATTCTATAGAACTAGCATTTGCCTACACACTTGATGTGTATGAACATATTTTTTTTAGAAAATGATAAGGAGAGAGGGAGGGAGAGAGAGAGAGAAAGTGGGGGGAGTGGGATGTTTTTGTTTTTGTTTTTGTTTTTTAATATTGAATGTATTTTAACATGATGAGACTTCAATAAAAAAAAATAGTAAAATTTAGACCTGTGAAATTACATTATTGCCCATCATTTTTTTTATGTGATAGAAAACTAAGTAGTTTTTTTACCTTCTTTTAATTGATAAAAAAAATTTCATTAATTAATAGAAATATGTTACAAAAAATTAATTAATCGTTTGAATTTGAGAGTAAAAACTCGTTAATTTTATTGAGGCTTTTTGATTTCTTTGATTTATGCACAACAGGTGAAAGTGGGAAACAGGTGAAAGTGGGAAAAAGACGACGAAACTCTTTTTTCTTTCTTTGTCAGCCGGGAAGGTGCTCTCAATGCACTTGTAAGTAAACGTGTCTTTAACTCGATTGAAAGAAAAAAAAAACTAATAAAAATAACTTGAAAACAAGTTTTAACGATAAGAACAAAATAAAAGATAAAATAAATAATAAAATAATTGATTTTTTAATATAAAAATATAATTTTTCGTTAAAATAAACTATACCGGAAATTTTTCGTTAAAGTTTCTTAAAAAAATTTACAGAGAGTGCCATCTGAATTATAAGAGGGGCTTAAAATAAAATAAGGGTAAAGTACAAAAAACTACCTCAACTATTGGTGTCATGACACTTTCATACCTCATCTTTTAAAATTGATAATGTCATACCTCATCTTTAGAATTTGGTCCAATATTATACATTCCGTTACTTGACCGTTTATTTTTTAGTTAAATGCTGACGTGGTTTGATCCAGATCCCACTTTTTATTAAAAAATTTAAAAATATTATTAAAAACTAAAAAAAAATCATTTAATAAATTCTAAATATTAAAATAAAAAAAAAAAATAAAAAAAAAAACTTATTTTCGTTCCCTCCTCCCCCCAAAAAAAACAAAACAAAAACAATCCCTCTCCCATCTTCTTCCTCCTTATTTCCCCCCTGTTTCTCTCTCTTCTCTCCCATCTTCTTCTTCTTCTTTCTTTTGCAGATTTGGGCTTTTTTTTTCTTCCCCATTCCTCCTCCTCCTTCTCCTTCTTCTTCTTCTTCTTCTTTTGTTGCAGATTCAGTTTTTTTTTCTTCTTCTTCTTCCTCATTTTTTTCTGGGTTGCAAGAAGGGGACTGGAAGGAAGAAGTCTTCTTCTTTCTTCGTTGCTGATATATTTCATTTTTTTTTTCTTCTTCTTCTACCTCATTTTTTTCTGGGTTGCAAGAAGGGAGCTGGAAGGGAGAAGAAGATCTTCTTCTTCTTCTTCTTTATTCGTTGCAGGTTTGGTTTCAGTTTTTTTTTTTTCTTCTTCTTCTTCTTCCTCCTTTTTTTTCTGGGTTGCAGGAAGGGGATTGGAAGAAAGAAGAAGATGAAGATGAGGGATCTTCTTCTTCTTCTTTCTTCGTTGCAGATTCGGTTTCGGTATTTTTTTGTTTTTGTTTTTTTTTTCTTCTTCTTCCTCATTTTTTTCTGCGTTGCAGGAAGGGAACTGGAAGGGAGAATAAGATGAAGGTGGGGAGGAGAGAGAGAAGGGGGGAGGGAACGAACATAATTTTTTTTTAATTATTTTAATATTTAGAAATTATTAAATGATTTTTCTTAGTTTTTAATAATATTTTTTAATTTTTTAATAGAAAGTGGGATCTGAATTAAGCCACGTCATCATTTAACTGAAAAATATATGGCCAAGTAACGGATGGTATAACATTGGACCAAATTTTAAAGATGAGGTATAACATTATCAATTTTAAAAGATAAAGTATAAAAGTGTCGTGATATCAATAATTGAAGTAGTTTTTTGTACTTTACCTATAAAATAAATAGGAGTGAAATCCTCGTTAAAAGACGACGTCTGGCTTTTGATGAGGGCATTCAGGCCTGGTTTGATATTGATGTGCTTTGAAAAAAAAGCTACTGTGAGAATAAACAGCTGTGAAATAAATCAGCAGAGTGTTTGGTAAACTTTTTTGGAAAAGTGCTTTTGGAAAAAAAAAAAATAGTCTGATAGTGGGTCTTTTCATTAAAGGAGCATTGTAGCTCCGTGTGCTTTGAAAAAAAAAAACAGTTTTCCAAAGCTGCAAATAGCAGCTTTAGCTTTTCCCTTTGATTTCAGCTTATTCTCATAGTAACTTCCAAAATAAGCCTTTTTCAGTTTACCGAACATCTAAAACCTTCACAATTTTTTTTCATAGGCGTTTTTTTTTTTAAAGCGTCTCACTCTCAAACCATCGTCGTGCAGGACACAAGGCAGGGTGAAAACGAAGTAGGAAACATAAATTGACCAACAAAAAAAAAAAAAGTAGGAAACATAAAGCCAGCGAAGAAGATCAACAAATCAAAACCCCTAATTGAGAGTTTTAGCACTTCTGAATCTGAAGCCACTTGCGGTCCTCCCCTTTCCGCCGCTGACTTCCTTCGCTCGCTCGCTCGCTCGCTCGCTCTCTCCCTCCCTCCCTCCCCGGTGGTACACTTCCACGGATTCTGTTTAAAATGTGGGTTTTCCTTTTTCGTGGGATTGGATTAGGGTTCTTTTTCACTCTCTCGCTCTTCATTTAATTTTTAATTTTTAATTTTTAACCTTGTGAGGTTTTAATTTTACATAGTGAATATAATAGTATGTAAGGGGTGTTAATTTGCTACATTCAGTGGTGGTGATGTCGGAGAAAGGAGGAAAGGGGTTTTCTTTGCCTAAATCTTCGCTGAAATCTACCCCTCCTAGCACAAAGGATGGTCTGCTCTTTCTTCACTTTCCTGGACATTTTTTTATCGGGTGTTTTTTGTTTGTAAAAGAAATGAGGTAATCGCATTCCATTGGTTTGTGTAGGTAAGGATGATAGCTCAACCAAGTCCAAGAAGGGAAGACGAGTTCAGTTCGATTCTGAAGGTACGGTTTCTCTAAACTCTCTGTTCCTATTAAATTAGTCTCACATTTTAGTCAGTGGATCTTGTGTGTCATGCATGTGCTTATCGTCTTCGATTTTCAACATCTGAAATGTTTGTTCTTGTATTTATAGGTTCCCGGGAACCCAAATCACACTTTTCGTCAAAATTTGATAGCCGATCTGCTGCTTCAGGGAAAGGTTTAATATTATTTGAAATTCTGAATTTCCATTTTCATCACTTGCATATTTGAAGTCAAAGATCTCGATTTTATTATATTTCTCTCTTTCTTTTGCAAACTGTGATTTTTAAGCTGATTGGGGCAAAGGGGGGAAAGGAGACACCATCGGAAATGGTAGAAAGAAAGAACCACAGCCACTGGAGCTCAAAATTGAGCAGGGTGAGCACTTTGATATTTTGTATATCAAATACTTAAATACTTAAGATAAGAGTACAGCTCAGTCTCAGACATTGAAAATAAACTTTGTCGTTAAGCACTATAATGTTGTCAGTTTTGTTGATACATGCAGAACTTCCAAAGAGTGCCAAATGTATGATGGATTGTGAGGCTGCCGATATATTACAAGGCATCCAGGAGCAGATGGTCATGTTGTCAAAAGATCCTACTATTAAAATCCCTGTGTAAGAATCAAGTTCTATCATCTCAATGAAAGAATGATGATTGAGAAAATAGTTTATTATAACAGTTGATGTAAATTTTCTGTATATGAAGTCTCCTAAATGGTTTTGTTTTCAGATCATTCGACAAGGGACTGCAGTACGCAAACAGCTCCAGCCGTTATACTCATCCCCAGTCTGCGAGACACATTCTTGAGTATCCTTGATTTGCTCAGCATGTGTGTGTGTGTGTGTTCATGTTTTAGTATGCTTGATTTGTTTCTTGATGTTTATACGTGTGTGTACATATTTTCTCTGCTTTGAACCCTTAACTTGAATATCAGGGCACTAAAAAAATATGGTGTCAAGGATGGCGAGGTTATAATCTCAAACTTCTGTATTAGTTCTTAAAATTTAAGGACTGGCCCCTGATTTTTTTTATTTTTATTTTTTTTGGCCACAGATATGTGTGATTGCCAATGTTTGTCCAGAAACCACAGATGAAGTTTTTGCTTTAGTGCCATCCTTGAAGGTATGATATTGTTCCTAATAAAACGTATGCATTTTTCTGTTTTGGGCCAAATTGAATAATCTAGATAGAAATTGTAATTTAAACATCCAGAAGTTCTTTTCTATTTCAATTTTAGTTCTAGTCAGGAATAACTCAATTCTGTTTCTAAATTTGTCAGAGATTTGCTTGTGTTTGATGTAAAAGCTGAAAAAGATATATGTGGTATTCACTCCTTGGATTAATTTCTATTCCAAAATTGATATCTTCCAATCTGTTGCTATGTTACTCACTTCGAATGGGGAAAGTCATGAATCGGGGAAAGGAAAGAAGGGATGGTGTGGGATCAACTGCACCCCCTCCCTCTCCTCTGAGTCGATCTGATTCTGATTTTTCAGGCATTGGGTTATAGATTTTAGTGTGGAACCCATACTATTTTCTATTCTATGTATGTTACTAACACATGGGGATTCCAGAATTGGAATAATTCCAAAACCCATGTTTTAGGGGGAAGTAAACATGCCATTGTAGGAAGAGAAAATTGGAGCATTTATGCTTGGAAGTTTGCCCAACTGGAGTTTTGGTCCCTAAACTAAAAATCTGTGAGTATTGGTCCTTCAACTTGTCACAGTGTGGAGCATACTTGCATCCAACATAAAAGGTTTAAAGGGGAAATTAAGGGATGGAAGGTCTAACGGGATTACTCAAAAGGACCATTGCTCCACATTGTGACAAGTTCAGGGACCAACACTCACGAATTTTTAATTCACGAACCAAAGCTGCCATTTGTCTAAAATTTGGGGACCAATGCTCCAATTTCTCTTATGGGAATGGATCTTATTTCCTGATCCTTGAGGGCTAGGACTCGTAACTCCCCTTTTGTTGATCTCTTTGATTTTTTCATTTCCCCAAATTCCCTCTTCTTTCTGGCTGCCTATTAGTGCTGGAACTATTAGGTTGCCAATGGAACTATTAAGCTACTGAATTGACTTCTTAGTTTTCTGCCTACCTGACTGTTTATCTGCATTTGTTTTTCAAGCATCCTTGCCCGAAGCTATTTGGGGTTGCCAATTTTCGCTTGACCTAATTCTATACTATCTTTGCTTTTCCAATCACTTCAACATATATGTTTTTCTTCCAGGCTAAAAGAAGCACGCTCAGCCAACCACTCAAAGATGTTTTAAGTGAGCTGACGAGGTTTAAAAAGGCAACATAAGAACCTCGTTACATGAGAATCCTTGGTAAGGTATATTAATTTTCATCTCAACCTTAAATGGCCTTGTCTTCCTGTCTTGTATGCGGAATGTTTAGTTGGGTATTATGTAAACTGGTACAGGCTGCTAGGTGCAAATGGCACTATAATGGAGGGATTTTGCGTTGCGGACTTTTCACGGCACTAACAATCATCCTTGTTAATGTATTTGTTAATGGTCGTTGGGTTTTGTATATGACCTTGATGGAATTTGAGATGCTGCGGAAATCCTTTCCATAGCCTCTCCTTAGGCCTGCTTATCAGCAGTTGTTTTCTTCTATTTTGTGCTTGATGAATATGAAGTTTACTGGATGATTGAATGAGTTTGACATGAATACAAGTAGAGAGAGATCGTTGGCTGATTTCTTGACGGAATGAAGTAAAAAAAGGATTTGGAAAACACAAAAAAAAAAGAAGAAAGAGGCAATTGGTGCATCGTACTTAAATTTACTCAATTTGAGCAAGGGGGATGGTGTTTGTGACTTAGTTTTGAAAAAATTAATGAATTTTTATGAATTAAAAGAGGCTTCCTTTGGTGCATCTCCCAATACCCAACTTAATTTCTTGATCAAGAGAACTTGTACAAAAGGATTTTATCGCTGTTTGGCATCTTGGTTTAATGTTACAGTAACTGTGAATATGTTTTATGTAAGTTGTTTTTCTTAATTAGGCCCAATCACTTCTTGTTATGTAGATTAATTTTTTAAATCAAATTTATAAATTATGTGATGTGTTATTAATAGAAAATAAGCACATTAATCAACACTTAGTTATAATTACGAGCTGGTGGTCCAGTGATAAATGACAGATTGCGAGGCTTTCTTCAAGTTAAAAACTTACACTATGTTTGGATGAGGGAAATAAACTTGGAATTTGGTAAAAGTCAGAATTTATAAATTGGCATGCATCAATTCCCTTGTTTGGATTTATAACATAGAAATTTAGAATTTCCGCGTGGAAAAAAAACTTGGAATTTGGGGCCTCCAATTTTCAATTTTAAATTCCATGTAAATAGGTGTCATTTCTTAATTTCTATGATTAAGAGTTTAAAATTAACAAATTCCGTTTTGAATTTCATTATTCTTTTAAGTTAACCAAACAACAAAATTCACAAATTCTATAAAATAAAATCTCTTTATTTCAATTTCCGTTATTTTAAAATTCCTTAATAATCTTAAATTTCTTTATCCAAATATAGTGTTAAGGTATTGAGTTTGAAAGTGAATAACCGTAGTTTGCCATCACTTTTAATTTTGAAAAAAAAAAAATCAACACTTAGTAATAATTTGGGTCCGTAGACTTCCTCTTTTGCTAGGATTTGGGGTGGGTATTTGAACTTTTGACGAGATGGAAGCAAGTGAACAATATGCCAAAGAAAAAGAAACAAAGTTTTCAAAAAAAAAAAATAAATAAATAAACAAAGAAAAAAAAAAAACGAGAAAGACGGAAAGTGCAGTGGAGTTGGGTAGTGAGAAAGTCCATATTCTCTGTCTTCTCTTTTCTGGGCAAACAAACGAACATCATCTGTGTGGTAATTGATTCCTCAGAGAGAATGGGAAAAAAGGAAGAAGATTACAAAGAACAGAGGGAAGCAGACGCAGAAACAGAAGAAGAAGAAGAAGAAGAAGAAGAAGAATCGGATGAAGAAGAGAAATGGAGAAAGCACTATTCGTCTGGGCAGAGGATATTGTTGGTGGGCGAAGGAGACTTCTCCTTCTCTGTTTCTTTGGCCACTCGCTTTGGATCTGCCCGCAACATGCTTGCCACTTCTCTCGATTCCCAGGGTTACTACCTCCGTCCTCCTCCTTCTCTTGTTTTACTTTCACCACCATTCAATTCAATTGAATTCAAGTGTTTACCATTTTTTTCACCTGACTTGTTTATGCAGAGAAGATCGCTGACAAGTACAGTAACGCCATGGAGAATGTGAGGAAGCTTGAAGAAAAGGGATGCATCGTGATTTACGGAGTGGACGCCCAGCTTATGAGCCAACACTTCTTCCTCGCCACTCAGAGGTTTGACCGCATCGTCTACAACTTCCCTCATGTTGGCTTTCTCTTCCGCGAGGATAGCTTCTGTCAGATCCAGTATGTATCCCTTTACTTATTGTCTTGTTCTTTTATATTATCATCTCATCATTATTTGATTTGATGATGATCGTGTTTGAATTAGTCTTTGATTGTGATCATGATTATGAGGTTGAACAAGAGATTGGTGAAGGGTTTCTTCAAAAATGCCAAATTACTCCTGAGAAAAGAGGGTGGAGGAGAGATTCACATAACCCACAAAGAGGGTCATCCTTACAACAAATGGGATTTGATCAGGAAGGCACACAAGATTGGCCTGCAAATCGATCGATCTGTGCCCTTCTGCAAGGACGACTATCCCGGCTACCACAACAAGAGAGGCCACGGCATCCATTCCGACGCCCCCTTCCACCTTGGCGATTGCACTACTTACATGTTCAAAATCAGGCTGCCTTGATTAATCAGCCTTCATCTTCATCTCCATCTCCATTATAATGTCTCAAATTTTCAATGGTGTTGGCTGCCGTGCCCCGCTGTTAACATAATATTGCTTCTGATGCCTCTGTCTGTGTCTGTGTCTATCTACTCCCCGTCTGTCACTAAGACTGATTGAGCAGGATGCATGTAATGTCGAAAGAATGAGTGACATTCTTTCTGATGTCTGTATCAAGTCCACTCTATTTTCTTTACTATAAATTAAATTATATATAAGTTACGGTACCTCAATACAAATGTCTTACATGATAATAATACCTGAATTACACACCCACCCACCCACTAAATGCGGGAATAATCTACGCTACACTAGTATTTAATCACCTACGCTTAGTCTTAAATATTATAAGCTGCTTCAGAAGAGGGGGCCCTGAAAAACCCACTTGAGAAACCTCTTTTCACATTACAAAACCCCAAGCCCCCCATGAAATCAACATCCACACTATGATCCACCTCCGGTTTAGTTGATAACAAGAACTAGAACTAGTACTATATCTAGATCTAGGTCTGGACGTAGTATCAGTAACGCCAACAAGAAACCTGCATTCACCAACCGAAGGGTCTTGGAAAGTGACCATACCAAGCCCGTCAAAATCACAGCTCCGTTCATTCTGCATTTGCAGCTGATAGTAACTGTTGAACGCATATGAGATGTTTCCCCTTGCTCCAATTCCGTTGCATGACCCCCCATAGGTGAGTGTGGTGCAATCTGCAACACTACACGCGAGTTTCATGTGGTTCGCCACATCAGACAAATCTCCAGACGGCTTTGCCACACACCACCTAGACGGGAGATACTCAATATTCCTTGCATTTTTCAATCCTGTGCTGCCCAAACCGAGGTTCAACGGATATTTAGCCTGGCCATCAAAGGAAAAGATCCCCCAGTGCCTTTCAAAGTTTCCTGGAAGTGTGCTCTTTGCCCTTTCATCAAGCAGACTGAAAATATATATATCCACGGGAGGGGCACCTGGTCTTAGAGGGGTTCCTCTGTTACTCAGCACATGATTTATGAGACCTTGGTTGAATACCCTGGCAGCAGTGAGATTTGCATTGATGGCTCCGTCTGTGGGCCAACCCACCTCCCCAATGATTATGGGCATCTGACCATATCCAAGCTTGCTGAGGGCGGCGACTAGCGTGTCAAAGTTTCCGTCAAATGCATTGGAGTAAACATTGGACCCATCTGTAACAGGATGGCTAGTCCCCTCGAAGAATGCATAGTCTTGAGGGAAATCTGAGCTTCCATAGAGACTTAGAAATGGGTAGATATTGACTACAAAAGGAGAACCATTTGAATAGAGAAAGGAAACAACTTGAGTCATAATTTGAGTGAGTTCAGGTCGAAATGCTCCTTGAGAAGGAAGGGAGGACTCATAAGCATCGGCATTGCAAGGGACGACTAACTTGACGTAGCCTGCAAGATTCACTTTAGCCAAGGACTGTTGTAGATTGAGCAGTGTAGGCATGACATAAGACTGAAACTGGCCTGAGTAACTTGTAAGGAAGGGTTCATTTCCTACTGCAATATACCTGTCATTGGTCATAAGGAAACAAGTCTAGATATGGATGCAAAAGCAACAACTTAACATATAAACAGACGCAGAAGAAAGATTTGATTCATGGACTAGCATGGTGATCAAGTGAAAGAAGCAAAGTTTTGGCAACAAACTGGTTAGGCCAGTAACTGGTTTGGCACAGATTCAGCTCATCACTTGACAAGAAGAAGAGAATGTAATATGATATAAGATCATGATTATAACTTAACAAAATATGCTGAAAAAGAATATCCATTAATATCAAGGGATGGTGGGTGGCAAAAACATACCATTTGCCCTTTATTAACCAGTGAAAGCCACACAAGTAAAAAGTTGTTTCCTTTTACTCTCCAACCGTTTCTCAGTAACAATTGCAATAAACACACAATGAAAGAAGAATACGGAAAAAGAAGAAGAAGAAGAGGAGGAGGGGCCTCGGCCTCACCTGATATCGGCACCATTTTTAACCATATATCTGGACACATTCTGGCGAACCCACAAATCAGAGGCGTCGGTGGAAGAGCTCAAGGCGGCCAACATCTCATTGGGGATGCCAACCATGACCTGGATGCCGCTGCCCATGAGAGCCCGAAGAGAATCTGGGTCGGCATCGAAAAGCTTCACCTTTGATATCTTGTTGTCTTTCATGAGATCCACCACCGCGGAAGGCTTGAGCCTGTGGAAGGACACGCTGCCCCAGTTCACTCCTATGGCTGACTCCGCCCTCCAAACCACCACTAGAGAAAGCAGAGCTGCTGCAAATGCCCAACTCCATTTCCTCCTGGCTTCTAACATTTTGTCAGATTAATAAATAATCTGATCAAACCCCAACAATTATGAACCAGATTATTCATTCATTCATTCCCCACCTTGGTTCATTAACTCAATATCTGCTAGGCAGAGACTGAGAGTCTGAGAGTGCGTTGTATTGTACGTGGTTGTGGGTTTATTTTTCGCTCTATGTTATCATTAGCTGGTACTTCTACATATACATGCGAGAGAGAGAGAGAGAGAGAGAGAGAGATCACAGATAAGAGAGTAAAGTTGAAACTGCCATGATACTTGATAGATATAAATAGCAATGCTGATGTTGACGTTGCACTTTCTGAAATTACCTAGATACCCTCCACTAGTCGACAGCCAATGTGCCGCCGCCGACTGCTAAGTGACAAACTCTCTTTGGATGTCACCGTGTCCACAACCTTCCAACTTTCGGTGGTGTTATATTTGTAAATGAAAATATTCAAAATGACAAATAAAACCAACCACCTAACGCAGATGCCTAATATGCCATGTGAAGAAAACGATGTAGCGAGCATTTAACAATTTGTGTAGTAGCGAGCTTGGTAGCGTATAAACTACGAGTTTGTGGTTCAGTGGTAAATAACAGATTACGAGCTTTTTTTAAAATTAAAAATTGGAGGTCTCGAGTTCGATACTTACTGCTGGTTGAAATGTCTCTGTGAGTCTTTCCGGTCCGTGGAAGAAATGGATAACCGTGACTTGCTATCAGTTGTCTCCCTTTAAAAAAAAATATCAGTTGTCCCCCTTTAAAAAAAAAAAAACCTTCAATTAAGTAGTACATTTGAAATTTATTGTCTGCAAATGTTGTGAGGTCACCTTAAGCATGCTTAAATTGCTTAGGTTAGTAGGATGTCCCACTCAAAGTATTACAATTTTTTTTAGTCCTCGGAGCTTTTATGAATTTATAAATTAGAAAATGGAAAACTATTTTCATAATGCAGCTTGGAAGTGATAGTTAGGGGTCTAAAAATCACCAAAATGTTCCACATGATTATTACGAAGCTTGAAATGTGGCGAAACTTGCATGAAAATAATTTTTTGTAGAAATTCGCAAACTTGATTGTTATAAAAAAATGGGACCTTTGAGTTTTCGCAAGAAATCTTTCATGACTACCAAAGAAAATGTCATAAAATCTTTAGACACAGTGTTATCATATTTTGAGTCCCTAATGTATTTATTAAGAAGGTTTTAAGCAAAACAAAAACATAAATAAAAGAAAAATACTTGCATATAGCTCGAAATTGATAGTGGAATTACAAAATTTAAATTGCGGGTTTGAGTTACCACCTTCATTCTAAAAGTGGCAGCTAGTGGAGGTTAATTATTTCGGTCTAGAATATTTCTCTTTTTATCACTTGAGCTACTTTATATGTGCTGGAAGACAAATTAGGCCCCGTAAAGTTGCAAATGCAAACGAGAATTAAGATTTCATTCGCCGGCCACCAGCTACAGTGATTGACTTACAGAGAAAGGCTCAAAAGCAATTGGTGATTTGTTTTTACTTTATATATTAAAGTGAGAGAAGTAATATTATAATATATATATATACACACACACACACACATATATCTGTGACACGCATACACCAAAGAGACAATTGTTGATTATCACATTCCTTCAACATATTAAGAGTTTTTTATTTTTTAAGAAGAAGAAGAGAACTCTTCTGGAACACCAAATTAACAACCTCAAATTAATGAAAGTTTCAGGCAAAAAGCCCTTAAAGGAAAGCTGATCCATCCCAAAAACGACACAGCTATAAAAACAATAAAAAAACAGTATCAGCAGAGATAAATAATTAATTAATTACCGTTGGAAACATATCACAATCAAAACCTGATCGATCTGGATGAGAGATTTTTCAATATGAGCGAAATACAGGGTGGTACATCATATGTTATTATACATGTGGAGAGGCACTTGAAAAAATAAACTTTTTCCCACTTATATAATTACAGATAGTGTATCAGTGCATATTCATTCCTTGTTCTAAGCACACTGAAAAATTTCTCATAGGAAAGAGACAAGTATGATTTTTGTTTTGTAGTGCACGCATGCAAGGTTGATTTTAGTCGTTGTTGCAATATATGAAAATCAGGCTGGTTGGTGATTTCCAACCAAAAGGGCTAAATATAGCCCGTTGAGAATTATATATCTGCAAAAAATTATTTTTAAATGAACAGTGTCAAACTATATTTATATATCATCTCAAACTGAAAAGGGTTATGTTTTAGCCCCTCGATAATTTATTATTTTTAAGTTTGTTCTTTAACTTATTGGTTAATTGAATTATTACCATATTAAAATAAGGTTATGAAGGCATATTTTGAGTGTCACTTGTTGCTCAATGAATAAACCTCCGAATTTTGTATCTTTATGTAATCTCAATAATTTTTCGAATAGGATTTCGAGTGGCACGTATCGCTAAATAAGCAACTCTCCATATTTCTTATCTTTATATAATCTTAATAATTTTTCGAATAGGATTTTCGAGTGAGGTAAAATTGTATGAAATGGTGAAAATGATGTGAGAAATGACTTAGGTATTTATAAAAATAAAAAAAAAGAATTTTCATTTTTTAATTTTTTCCTTAAAAAAAGAAAAAAAATTATAACGGCTTAATGATGTCAGCTAGCGGTTGTTACTGATATCAGCTGGCATCAGCTAGCTGTTGGCTAGGCTCCCAAACGGGCAACTGGGAGGGCTCAATGTGCCCAGCCCAATAGCCTTTTGGCTATCCTTTGGCCTGGTGGGTCCTAATTGTATTTGGCCCAGCCCTTCATTAGAGTTGGATTTTGTGGCATTTCGGGCTAAAACTTGGCATATGGCCCTATATCCATCTCCATTAGAGATGGCCTAACCCAGGCCCGTTTGTGGCCGTTTCTCTTGTCAACTTCATTTTTAGCCTTGGCAACCACTTCTAGTTGAATGTAAGCATAGTTTCCGTTGATGGGGCCAGACACAAATCCAGTACATACTCTGCCATGACTCCGTGGAATGCTGAATGCATGCGCCACCAGTGTGCAGTACAAGTTATCTGTTACATTTGCGGGGACCCCCTGTATCATGTATATTGAATCTACGTGCTTGAAATTGGTAGTTCGAGCTCCGTTTTTTAGTAATATTCATGGTATTCGATTAGTTTACAAGTATGGGTTATTTCACTTTAAAAGTGGTATCCTGAGAAATACAAAAAGTGTGCAAGACAAGGCGGTTACGACCATACGGTGTATTAGTGAATGAGTTTTGCTTTTAAATTATATTATACATATATGTTTTCGAAACTGGTTTTATGTGATGCTATTATATCATCTCATGCTTTTATTTTAAAAGCACAAATGTTTTATGTGTTATTGTTGATGCGACTTATAATTTGTGAAGACCACTTTGAAACGTTTTGCTACTGTCAATGCTTTATGCGATAATATGATTTATGACACTTGTGATTTGAGAGATTAGTCATGGAATGTTTTGATATGGTTTACTTGCTCATCACCTATGCTTGTATGGTGTCTATACTATTGTTTGGGGCTCAAACCAGCTTCACGTGTATGTTCACATTTACCGTACGCTTACATTAGAATCATACTAAGTGTTAGCCTGTACTAGGTTGCATTAGGCAACTATGACTTATATGTGATGCACTTAGCGGCATATTCACATGTATGTAGGACTAGTGCGTAGATTCATACACGTAGTCTACTAATGTAAGAAAATCTCTACATAAGTCATGTGTTTGCATTATCTTATGAGCCTACCATATCCGTTTTATTGATGATTAATTTGTGAATTACCTGCTTACTTGGAATATTAGCTTTTCACTGATGCTATGGTATTTTCATATGTACTACGGCACAACAAGATATTTGAGATTCGTGATTTATAATTGTCGATTTCTTCATAATGATTTTACATTGAGAATTTACGAGACTTATTCGTTTCTTAAAATAATTGCTACGACGTTAATAGAAGAATGAAAGCAAAGACTACAATCATTGAGAGATAATGATTTTAATTTGAGGATTTGTTTCATGATGTAAAAAGTTTTGTGAGGAAAATGATATTAATTTTCCTAACATGGAGGATTGAAGCTTCAAGACTCACAAACTTTCATTATTATCGTGTGGAACACTATTTTCAAGTCCTTGATATGCAACTAAAAGAATTAAATGATCGGTTCAATATATATTGAGAAAACCCCACTACATAAGAAAGTAGGAGATTAGTAGTTGAGTGATATCATGGTACTTTACATTGAGAGAGATGTTTTTGCTTTTATGGATAATGAGCTCATTATGCGATGTTTTTATGACATGAAACATCGTCGGCAACTATTGTATTGATAAATTTATGAACAACATTACTATTGTCTACTATCCAAAAGGATTTGGTAGTCTAAAATTTTTTGAGACCTGTTATCCCTTTTGAATTTCGCCCCTCCCTTTAACAATTATTGGCTTCGCCACTGTACATGATCATATTTGTACTTGTCACCTAAGTGATGGTCCATTTTTCATCCAGTGTCTAACTCTTGACTCCTAAGTTTTGATTGAGAAAAGAAGAAAATTATGTCCACCGTGTTATACAGAGCAAACAATTAATAAGGGACTATGATTTTCTCTCTCCTAACCTCTATCTTTCTTTGCCCTCTTATTTAAATAGTTATGATTAAGACACATCAACATCTTGTTTGATTTTTTTTATATATAGATAAAAAAACAAAAAGAAAAATTTGGGAGGATGAGAGAGAAGGAAATGGTAATAGAAGGCGAGAATCATACTCCATTAATAAGGTCTCATTTGTTAATACTTTTATAGTATTTCCTAATATTTTATATTTCAAAATTTTAATTGTTAGACTTTAAAATTTATATTTTATTTATAATCTAACTATCAAAAGGGAAAGAGAACCTCTTCGGATCTCTCCCTCCAAAGCACAGGGATCAAGTGATTTGGGTCTTTGAAGTTTGATCCAACGGTCAAAAATTATTATAGCTTTTAAATATTTTTACTAACTTCTCTATTTTTAGCTGATTGATCAAATTTTAAAGATTCGAATAACTTGATCCCTGGGTTTTGGAGGGAGAGATCCGGAGACGATCTCTTTTCAATCAAAAGTATACTAGAAGACCCCACATTCACAAAATCAGGGACAAGGCAGGGAATTTTCAACTTTCTATAATAAACTAGTACTCACTACTCACCCTCTTCTCCCTTGTAAGGTTCAATTTAATAACATCGCTGGCCAAATACATCTCAGATTCTCAATCGCATATAACATACATTTCAATCATGATATATAGTTAAACATGTTTAATTAATATATAGAATCTCAATCGCATATAAATGCATCTCAGTGTCATCCCACATGTATGAAGTACTTAATTAAATTAACGAGTAATTTATAATGTATATGGATATTAATTGATCATCATTAGCTTAGCTTAATTAATTAGCAGCGAGATAGGACGTCCTAGGTAGGCTCTTGGATGAGCACTTACTCACTTGACTTCTGCGACGGTGATAATGTCGGCGGCCTTGAATTTCTTCCGTAAGCTCTTGACCAACTTAATGGCGTCCACTCCCTCCCCAATCACCACCACTCTGTCTTTTTCCTCTCCCAACGCCACAGACCTCACACCTGCATATTGCATGTATCCATGATCTATCCCATGCCATGTCAATAATATATCATTAATCACAATAAATTAATATAACCTTAGTTAATTAATTTTACAATTTAATATCAATCAAACCGGATGTTCTTCAGCTAATTTAGTAAAACTGCATATAATTAATATAATCAGTAAATGAATGTGATGGGCTGCCGGAGCATACAATAGACACGTACAACAGCAAGAGTCGTTCAATATCAGTTATCAAATATGATATCGAGTCTATGAGATACCAAAGTACCAAATTAATAAACTAGCTAGCTAGCAAGCAAACATAAGTACCATCTACTTTAGCAGCAATTTTGAGCGCCTTTGTTTGGCATTTCCGGCAATTCATCGGTACCTTCATCACAATCTTACGCTGCAAAAATAAAAAACAAATCGATTGGGTATGTAATTGGGGGAGGGAAGGCCGCTGAGATATAATTTATGTATATATATAGCTAGAAATGTAATTTATTGTAGGAAGAAACTCTACTTTAAATTAAGTGACAACAACAACAACAACAACAACAAAGCCTTTTCCCACTAAGTGGGGTCGGCTATATGAATCCTAGAACGCCATTGCGCTCGGTTTTGTGTCATGTCCTCCATTAGATCCCAGTACTCTAAGTCTTTTCTTAGAGTCTCTTCCAAAGTTTTCCTAGGTCTTCCTCTACCCCTTCGGCCCTGAACCTCTGTCCCGTAGTCACATCTTCGAACCGGAGCGTCATTCGGCCTTCTTTGCACATGTCCAAATCACCGGAGCCGATTTTCTCTCATCTTTCCTACAATTTCGGCTACTCCTACTTTACCTCGGATATCCTCATTCCCAATCTTATCCTTTCTCGTGTGCCCACACATCCCACGAAGCATCCTCATCTCCGCTACACCCATTTTGTGTACGTGTTGATGCTTCACCGCCCAACATTCTGTGCCATACAACATCGCTGGCCTTATTGCCGTCCTATAAAATTTTCCCTTGAGCTTCAGTGGCCTACGACGGTCACACAACACGCCGGATGCATTCTTACACTTCATCCATCCAGCTCGTATTCTATGGTTGAGATCTCCATCTAATTCTCCGTTCTCTTGCAAGATAGATCCTAGGTAGCGAAAACGGTCGCTTTTTGTGATCTTCGCTAGATTGCTCCGGTCATTAGCGTGGATAAGTATATAAATGGATAGAGATAGGAAAGCAAACACAAGATGTACGTGGTTCACCCAGATTGGCTACGTCCACGGAATAGAAGAGTTCTCATTAATTGTGAAGGGTTTACACAAGTACATAGGTTCAAGCTCTCCTTTAGTGAGTACAAGTGAATGATTTAGTACAAATGACATTAGGAAATATTGTGGGAGAATGATCTCGTAATCACGAAACTTCTAAGTATCGGAGTGTGGTGTCATCTTGACTTGCCTTATCTGTCTCATAGGTAGATGTGGCATCTTCTCTGGAAGTACTCTTCCTCCATCCAGGGGTGGTATCTTTAACTGGTGGAGATGCACAAGGTAATGTATCAATTTCACTTGAAGCTTACTTGTAGTTTCAGGCTTGGTCAAGCGCGATACAAACCATGTAGTAGGAGTCCCCCAAGTCGCCGAGCTAGGGGGTCTGCTGAAAGAGGTGACAGACAAGGTAAGCAATCAGAGCTCCGACTGATTGTTCACCTTCTCCCCATCTTGCAGCAGCATGAAGGATAAAGAGAAGAAAAATGAGAAGAGATGATATGAGATACTTTTGCTTTTGAAGAAGTAACTTTCCACAGGCTTATTCTTGAACTGAGCTGGAGGGTTTTCTGGTTTCCTCCAGAGTATAAGGCCGACTGAAGAATTTGAGGGTCAAAACAAGTCCATCAAATCTAGAGTACGTTCCACCCTGCTGATATGAGATACTTTTGCTTTTGACAGAGTAATGGATGTATCGGCACGTGTGCTGTTACGCTTGTCTCCACATGCTTCCTTGTATCCTTCGCACTTGCCCTATCTGTTCCTCAAGCAGATGCGGAATCTTCCCTGGAAATATAAGATGTTGAAGATGAGTACTCGAGAGCAATGCCAGGTAAGTAATCAGGTAAGGGGTTCCAGGCAGTCAGTTCCTGGCTGGAAGCTTGATTCCAAGTGCTGGTTGATTGCTCTCTTTCTCCTTGTCTTGCAGGTAAAAACAAGGCCAAAGGAAAAGACAGGGAAAAAGCATGATATGGGATACTCTTGTTTTTAACCCTGATGATATGAGATATTCTTGCTCTAGTATAGCTTGTTTGCAGAGGTATTATCGGGGGGAAGGAAAGCTGAATATTTCGAAAGGCTTCGTTGGGAGTGCCCTCTCAGATATGATGAAGGGTTGAGCATTTTTGCAGGTCTGCCTGTCTGTTGGGGATGGAGGTCGACATATATAGGAGTCTCCCTAAGAAGTAGTAATGCTATTCCTTTACCCTGCTTGGTCATAGCACGGTAGTGGGAGCTGCCAGTTTCACATGTTTTAACTCTGTCAGAGCACTTTGAAAAAGTGGTCTGTGCTATCTGGTTCTCGAGATTCGGAGAACGATGCCTTTTCGATTTTTGAGAAAGTAATCATGCTGGGGGTCTGGCTCTCGAGATTCGGAGAGCAGTGTCTCTTCGATTTTTGAGAAAGTAATCATGTTGGGAGTTTGGCTCTCGAGATTCGGAGGGCGGTGCCTCTTCGATTTTGGAGCAAGCAATCTGTTGGGAGTGTTGTCTCGAATGTGAGTAAAGGTTGGGCATGTTTGCTAGTCTACCTTGCCACGAAGCACAAAGGTTGACACACAGGGACTTTCCAATTATCCAGCAATGGTACTGTTCCTTTACCCTCTTTTCGATTTTGAGAAAGTAGTCATGTTGGGAGTCTGGCTCTCGAGATTCGGAGGACGGTGTCTCTTCGATTTTGGAGCAAGCAATCTTGTTGGGAGTGTTTTCTCGAATGTGAGTAAAGGTTGGGCATGTTTGCTAGTCTACCTTGCCACGAAGCACATAGGTTGACAAACAGGGACTTTCCAATTATCCAGCAGTGGTACTGTTCCTTTACCCTTGTGGGTAATAATATGGTAGCTAGACCTTCAAAATTTATGTGTCTAAACTTTGTTAGTGCTGTTTCTTTGCTATTCTTTTACCTTTCTTGGTCAGAGCGATGTAGTGGGAGTTGCAAGCTTCACGTGCTCAACTTGGCAGAGAACTTTGGCAAAGTTATCTGTGGTACCCATGAGCTATTGTTGCGTGTGGGGAAGTGGGTGATTGAACAGTAAGATTCATGTGCTTTCTACTTCACCAGAAGTCTTCGACAGAATGCCCATAATTTCTGCAAAGCTGAGTGTGCGTGTGACAGGTGCTGACAAGGCTAGAAAAGTAGGTGCCTCTTCGATTTCTGAGATCGGCCCTCGTGGTCTCTAAGCAGCCCAGCTTTTTGAGAAAAGCGAGCGCCTCTTCGATTGATTCGGAGAACGATGCCTCATCGATTTTTGAGAAAGCAATCATGCTGGGGGTCTGGCTCTCGAAGATTCGGGGAGCAGTGTCTCTTCGATTTTTGAGAAAGTAATCATGTTGGGAGTCTGGCTCTCGAGATTCGGAGGGCGGTGCCTCTTCGATTTTGGAGCAAGCAATCTTGTTGGGAGTATTTTCTCGAATGTGAGTAAAGGTTGGGCATGTTTGCTAGTCTACCTTGCCACGAAGCACAGAGGTTGACACACAGGGACTTTCCAATTATCCAGCAATGGTACTGTTCCTTTACCCTTTCTTCGATTTTTATGAAAGTAGTCATGTTGGGAGTCTGGCTCTCGAGATTCGGAGGACGGTGCCTTTTCGATTTTGGAGCAAGCAATCTTATTGGGAGTGTTTTCTCGAATGTGAGTAAAGGTTGGGCATGTTTGCTAGTCTACCTTGCCACGAAGCACATAGGTTGACACACAGGGACTTTCCAATTATCCAGCAGTGGTACTATTCCTTTACCCTTGTGGGTAATAATATGGTAGCTAGACCTTCAAAATTTATGGGTCTAAACTTTGTTAGTGCTGTTTCTTTGCTATTCTTTTACCCTTCTTGGTCAGAGCGATGTAGTGGAAGCTGCAAGCTTCACGTGCTCAACTTTGGCAGAGAACTTTGGCAAAGTTATCTGTGGTACCCATGAGCTATTGTTGCGTGTGGGAAGTGGGTGATTGAACAGTAAGATTCATGTGTTTTCTACTTCCCCAGAAGTCTTCGACAGAATGCCCATAATTTCCGCAAAGCTGAGTGTGTGCGTGTGACAGGTGCTGACAAGGCTGGAAAAAGTAGGTGCCTCTTCGATTTCTGAGATTGGCCCTCGTGGTCTCTGGGGAGCCCAGCTTTTGAGAAAGCGAGCGCCTCTTCGATTTCTGAGATCAGCCTTCGAGGTCTTTGAGCAGCCCAACTTTTGAGAAAGCAAACGCCTCTTCGATTTCTGAGATCAACCCTCGTGATCTCTAAGCAGCCCAGCTTTTGAGAAAGCAAACGCCTCTTCGATTTCTGAGCAGGCGCCTCTTCGATTTCTGAAGCTCCGTCGAGTGCAGATTTTTATAGGGGCTGACATTAAGTTCCAAAGCACACTTGAATCTCCACCAGTAGAAGCTTCATTCTTGCACTTCTAAGATCTTGATTTGTCCGACCTCTTCTCTCTTCAACACCTTTGAAAATGTCTGGCCCCTCCGACCGTCGTTTTGACTTGAACCTTGTTGAAGAGGCAGCCCCGCCTTCTCCAGACAACATATGGCGCCCATCCTTCGTCTCCCCTACTGGTCCTCTTACCGTTGGGGATTCCGTGATGAAGAATGATATGACCGCTGCGGTGGTGGCCAGGAACCTTCTCACTCCCAAAGATAACAGACTACTTTCCAAACGGTCTGATGAGTTAGCTGTTAAGGATTCGCTGGCTCTCAGTGTTCAGTGTGCAGGTTCTGTGTCTAATATGGCCCAACGCCTATTTGCTCGAACCCGCCAAGTTGAATCATTGGCGGCTGAAGTGATGAGTCTCAAACAGGAGATTAGAGGGCTCAAGCATGAGAATAAACAGTTGCACCGGCTCGCACATGACTATGCTACAAACATGAAGAGGAAGCTTGACCAGATGAAGGAAACTGATGGTCAGGTTTTACTTGATCATCAGAGATTTATGGGTTTGTTCCAAAGGCATTTATTGCCTTCGTCTTCTGGGGCTGTACCGCGTAATGAAGCTCCAAATGATCAACCTCTGATGCCTCCTCCTTCTAGGGTTCTGTCCAGTACTGAGGCTCCAAATGATCCCCCTCCGGTGCCTTCTCTTTCTGGGGCTCTACCGACTGCTGAGACTTCTCCTAAGCAACCTTTGTGAAGGCTCCCTCTTGTGTGTTTATTTTGACTCATGTATATGTACATATTTGTAGCTTATCGGGGATATCAATAAATAAGCTTTCCTTCATTTCAACGTATTGTGTTAAA